GTGTTGGGGAAGGGAGCGGCTGGCAGCGGCGAGCTCCGCTCGGCCGGCCGGCAGAGGCACAGGGGGGTTCTTCCCGAATTTGCAATTAATCCGGCCCCACCTTTCCCAAGAGCAAAAATAAAATAAAATAAAATAAAATAAAATAAAAATCTCGGAGTTACAAAACTTACCACCATGAGGAGGTGACGTGCGGGGTTGCCCAGAACAAGACCAGCGGAAGAGACCACCAGATCCCAGAGAGAAAGTTCATGTTAGGAACGCTTCAGTCCACATCGGTTCAGTCGCGGGGGGCAGCAGAAATCCCATGGAACAAAAATTACTGCCAGAGGCAAACGCACCTTGGGCGCTTCTTTCTTCAGTGGGTCAAGCCTCTCACCGTGCCCATCTCACGGCTGCCCCGGCGCACGTCTGCTGCTCTGCTCCCGGACGAAGGGAAATGCTGCCCCGGGCAAGGAAGGCTTCGCGCTCCCCTCGCTCTGCCCAGCGCCAGACCCCGCGGACCAGCAGCGCAGCCCTGCTCCCAGCCCTCGTCTGTGCCCTGATCCAGCTCTTCCCTGCAGTCCCAGCAAAGCTGAGGGGCTGGTGTGGGTTGCTCACAGACTGGGTGGGTTCTGTGCGTGTGGTTTTTTTTCCCTCTCTCTGAAACTCTGATGGATGAAATGATGTCAAGAGACACTGGGGGAAGAGGAGGAGGTAACACCTCTGATTAGGCAAGGAATCCCGATGAGCCAGTTGCTGTCCAATAATCCTACTCCCAGACACTTCGTTCAAACACACCACCGTTACCAGTTACATGCGATCCGCTATTGAGCCTGCAGCGAAGACGGCTCCGACTGTTAAAAACCGGCAGCACTTGGCACCCCTCGGTGTTTGATAATGATACGAAGTGTTATTATTTCGTACGCACACCCCTATACACGGAGCGTAAAATGAGACTGCAGCTTCCCTGCCGGAGGAGAAGCGGGTCAGGAGCGTAGCGACTTTCCGCCCCCTCCCGTAACCCCGGGCACCTCGCACACGCCAGCTCCGACGTTTGCAGCCTCTGCTCGGACGCCTGAGCCCGAGCAGCCCCGCGCGGGGCC